CTTTTTTTTTTTTTTTTTTTTTTTTTGACAGTGGCCTGGCTGGTCAACTTTTGCTATCATATCTAAATAAAAAATTGTCTTCTATAATTGTATAATATCAAGTACTGATTTTCTTGATTAATTAATTGGGACACACCCGTGTTGAATGAATTGATTTGTTTTTATATTTTAAAAATATTTTTAAAAAATTAAAATTTTTAATTTATTTTTTAGATCATTTTATTAGATTGATATAAAAAATAATTTTTTAAAAATAAAAAATAATTTTAATTTTTTTAAATAAAAAATATTTTAAAAAACAACCACAGTTATATTTTTAAATATTCCCTTATCTTATCTGGTGTGAATTAAAAAGATGTTTAGAAATATGGTATAAATTGCAATTTAAAATAATTTTTATTTGAGAATATATTAAAATAATAATTTTTATTAAAAAAAAATTATTTTTAACATAGCACGTAAAAATATTTAAAAAATATAAAACTTTAATTTTAAAATAAAAATTATTAAATTTTTATGCAACTTAATATCAACAGCGTTTTTAAAAATTGTTATTAGGATACCATGATGACAAAACTGAAAATTCAGCACAAGTATTGCATCATGACAATAATTTTAGTTATTTTATGAGTAAATTTTTCTTCAAGAAACTAAAAGTTGACTTTTCATGATAAGATAGTTGCGTTTTGATTTTCAACTTCTCAACATTCAACTTTTTCCTTGACTTCCACACCACCTCTCTAATTTACTCAAGTACTAAAAAATGCAATTTCAATGTCTCTAGCAAGAAGGATTGCCATCCAGCATTATTTCATCAAGCATGCTCATTTTTTACTCCAGCACTAAAGAATAAAGTTGATTTTAACTATTCAATTCAAGAAAATCTATGATTTAAATATACTATACTTGCAACATTGAGAAATAAATATAGGAAATAGAGAAAAATATAAAAAAATAATTTTTTATGTGGATATATATTCTTGTCATTTTCCATAGAATTGAGTATAATTTTCTCTTTTCTTATTGAGTCAATTATTTTAAACACTAGTAATTATGGAGAAAGTTTTGTGGTGGTTAAGAAATAATAAGTGATATTCTATTAATTAATTTTTATATTAAAAAAACACAAAAAGAATTATATAACCAACTAAAAGTGATGAGAATATCTACATCTATGATTTTACCCTTTTATTTCTCTTTATTATTATTATTATTATTATTATTATTTTTAGAGTATACATATAAAGTAACTAATAGCATGAAACTAGTTATTCTCTAGACATCATAAAATTTCTCGTATTTATAACTCAATTTCTTATGCATCTATCTACAGGAAAACTCGAAATCTGTCTTCTTTTTTTTTGGGGTGAAAAATCCGAGTCTTCTTTCAATTCGAAATTTAATCTAGGTTTTTCCTCAGCCACGCTATTCCATTTGGGCATCCGTGTTCTTCAACTGTCTAGATAACATAAATTTGGAGACCAAACTCGTGAAAACCATATCCCCACCTATCTTTCGTTTTCTTTGTCGTAGACAATGTATAGTAATACATGATTACATGGAATGTTCCATGATCACCTTTCGAGTATAGTTTTAAAACCCGGCCCGGCCCGGTGGTTTTAAAACCCGGCCTGGCCCGGCGGGTTGACCCGGGACCCAGCCGACCCGGGGCTGGAACCGGGCCGGGTTAATGAAAAAATAAGATAAGTTATGACCCGGCGTGACCCGGCCGACCCGGAAACCCGGACGACCCGGCAAAACCCGGTCAAAAACCTGGTGGTAACCCGTTGACTTTTATTTTTTTTATTAAAACGACGTCGTTTTGAATTTTTTAAAAAATAGAAATTGACCCGGCCGACCCGTTCGATCCGGTCAAAACCCGGTGACCCGGTCAAAACCCGGAACCCGGGTCTTGGACCAGGTCAGCCACCGGGCCGGGTTTAAAAACTATGATACATGGAATGTTCCATGATCACCTTTCGTTTGCATGGAAGTCACAAAGCTGGTCCAAGTTAAAGCCTGGATTTGGGAAAGATTATGACCTTTGAACATAAACGTCTGCCTTGCAAAAAGGAATTCAACTTCCCTAACATCGTGTTCAAACTCCAATCTTTCTGGCGAGAAATCAACAAAATCATATGTCAAAGAACTGACCGGGGACATTTATATCTTGGTTGCAAGGGATTGTGTGGTGCTATTAAATGCTTGTTGGGCCGATTGCAATAGAACAATCTCTTAAAGTCGATGAGGGCATGAGTTGTATGCTCTTACAAGCCATTTAGTAAAAGAAGAACTCTGCGCACTTGAAGGAAGGTTAGCAAAGTGCAATGAAAAGTAGAAATTTATGGCTGATTGAAAGAAAACGCTCTCCTTTTCTTTCTTGAAGTGTAGAGATAAGGTGATAGAACTTGAAGGAAGGAAAACACCATCTCTTGATCTCATTCTCGATTCTTTTACGCCAGGAAAAACATGGTGAAAAGTGGTCACATAAATAAACTTGAAGCCCCATGATTCTAGGTCCATAATTATATCTTGACCCAGCTAGCTCAGTCATATTTGAGTCCAATCTCTGCATCTGGGCTTTATTCGATGGGGCGAAGATTTTCCAATCTCAGAGACTACAAAACGGAGACATGACTTGGCAAGGGGGCAGTAAAAAATGTTCGATGCCAACAACAAACATGATTTTGTTACAATTAAAAAAAAAAAATCATTTTTCAGATAAAAATAACATGTTACATTTTTCAGAAACCCCCAGCAAAGTCACGGAAGCGGAAACAGCAGCAAGCAGAGAGTTTCCAGCAGTAGGTCGGTGCCGGAAGTCCTTTCGGGAGGTGGGTTTTAGCTCCTGCAAGGCGGCTAGAAGAGTCATTTTTCTTGGGGAAACTGGACATGAAAAAAGAGAGAGTTTCCTGCAAGGAAAAGGAGAACCGATTTAAGAGGCTTTATATGCTGCAGAAACAGCCTTGAAGACAGAAACTCAACCTTCTGTTTAGGAAAATTATTTCTGCCAGTCTTGTTTCCGCTTCCTTGTGCTTGAACTTCCAAGAAAATAAAGTAATGGAGGGTTAATATGCTCAAGTAGCTCGGTTTCTTAAAATGTCTTGAGCTCAACGTACTCTAATGGTCTTGAAAGTTGTTGTCCTTTGGGTAAACAGGCCTGAGCCAGTAATGGTGGTTTACAAAGAGTAAAGTGAAATACGAATGGGTTTTATTTTTCCTATATCTTAAATGACTCTCTGAAGAACCGAGTTAAATAAATGCAACCTAATAATTTGTTCAAGATTTAGGTTTTTTTTTTTTTTGGTGCTGATCATCACCTGGATACTCCAAATTAACCACAAGGCATTGTTTTAGTGGCCAGGAAAGCTTGATTACTCTCTTGATTTTTTTAGATTAAAATCTTAATACTAGCACTAGAGAATTTAATTAAATTTGATCAAGATATTGTATAAAAAATAAATTATTGTAATGAAGTTAGTGCATGGGGAGAATTAATCTTAGCTGTTATCTGCCTTGAAAAATCAAGAATAAGTGAAGTCCAATTATCAACAATTAATTTCAGCTGTTAGCTGATGTATAAAGTTATGGGACGTTGAAACAATGGCATAGTCAATAAATGTCTCTTGGGTATTGTAGTGTATAATATTTATTAAAAGTATTTTTTATTTAAAAATATATTAAAATAAGTTTTATTTTATTTTTGATATAAACTCACTAAAACCTTCTTAAAACATTTTAAAAGCATTCATTTAGTTTTTTTTTAAGTCAAATATATTTTCAAAGACCTTTACAATATGTATAGATATGACCGATTTTGAGAGTCCAATCAACTTAATTTATATAACCGCGTTGTTAATACGAAAGTTGTCAAGGCTCATAACTCGACTCCTACAATGAGCTCGAGTCATAATCTATTAATTTGTCAAAATCTGACCGCTATCTCAAAAAACTTCATGCTAAGACAAAATTTCAAACACAAAACAAACATACATTTTCTAACAAAGTGCTTATTTCTTCACGGAAGAAAACAAAGCATGTGAAGGGATGGAGCTTTCACCCCTCTCATTTGGATAAAAAAAACAAAAAGGAGAAAAAAGTATTGTTGTTAAATCCAACCCAACTAGATGAGTTAATATAATGATTTATCAACTTGATTGTCGACTTGAAATCAAGTTGACCTGAAATCGGTTAAAAGTTTAATTTAATCTAACTCGATTGATCGATTTAACACGAGTACATGTTTTTAATTTGTTTTTCTCAAAACCACGTGTTTTAAATTGATATAAACTTGCTAGAACTCATGATACGAAGCTGAGGCTAGGTCACGGAGAGGGCTACTCCTCTGAATACCCCATTAATTGTATTATTTAAAAAAAAAAACTGTACAAAGTAATGGTCTCATTTCTGTGACCGACAAGGCCAATAACAAGATGGCAAACTTTTTCACAAGGAAGCTTTGATGATGGTGATATCATTAACACATCCAAACCATACAATTCCCATCCCCATCTTCAAGACCCCACCAATCATCATGTCTAACCTAATTAAACCGTTGTGGCCATCATCGCACCTAATTTAAATTTCTGCCACAGGTCATATACCCTATGATATACTCAGAGAGAGGATCTTTTGGCAAAAACATATTTGGTACAGGAGGTAGGTGAAGGGATGTTCGGTACAATGATAAATGTGTTATGTTTTCTCTACCCCCTCCTTTCTATAGCTAAACTTTAACTTAATATTCTCTTTTTTCTGTTTCCGAGGTTAGCACTTCAGCCTGTCTTGTCTACCCTTCCTTGTGTTTGAGCTTCCAACAAACTGAAGTAATGGAGGGGGACGGCATAGAAGAAGGGCTGGAATCAGCAACAAGCCCTCTACTTCTCGGAGATAAGAGCATCGGCAATACAACAACCAGCAACCAGCACTCCATCACTCCCGTTCTTGTCTTCAGCACCTTTGTTGCTCTCTGTGGTTCCCTCAGCTATGGATGTTCTGTAAGTATGTGTATATATATATATACACGTAGTAGTGGCAAGGTCTGGATTTATTTAGTTTTGTTTATGATCGCTTGATCGGTATTAGCAAAAAACTTAATATATAGTTTTTTTTCCTGCCATATTCCTGTTCTTATTATTTACCTATTAAGTTAACTTTCAGAGAAAAATCCAAGTTCCAACAATCACCACGAATTAATGTAATTCTAGTCCAAAGCTAAATTACTCTCTTCAGAACTGAGATTTTAGCAACATTTATCCTTCATATTGGGTTTAAAAAACGAAGATTAAAGTCTAAACCTTAGATTAGCTAGCATGTCTCTTTGCTTAGCATTTTTTTTATTTGCAAGTGCCCCACATGACGTACGTTTGCTATAGATGTAGCCACGTTGGGTTGGATGAGATAGGCCATGAGTACTTCAAGTGTGGTACCGTACATTTTGCCAATGAGCATACTGTTCCATAGCTGATCTTGATATTCTCTTTTCTCGTGGGATAGTGACTCAATCGGTATTGTTGTAATTTATGTTTTTTAATCACTCGACCACATGAGAAAAGAAAAAACCTATTTTGTAGTTAAATAACTCTTGCCTTTTATATTGATTTATGTAATTGCATTTTAATTTTTGATTTTATGAAAGCTAAGATGAATTATTTTTCATTTATGAAAACCTGGATTTCATTTATTATGCAGCAAAAATCAATGCCACATCAGTTCTAATAAACACATTTTTAAACTTACCTTTTAAATTCATAATTAAAAAATGTTTTCTCAAAACCTAATTCTTTTTAATCACAACAATAAAAACTGTTACAATGCTAAATACACACGCAAAAGAACATGAAGGAAAATTTGATTTATTTTTCAAAACAACTTGCAACAGCAGACGGGAGGTCCAATACCGCAGTATAGAAACAAACATTAACTTTATTATTATCAAATGCAGTTTTTATCTTATTGATTTGATTTTCCTCGTTACCTTTTACGTTGACTTCGATGGAATTTCTTGTCAGGTGGGTTACTCATCGCCTGCTGAGTCTGGAATAAGGGAAGATTTAGGCCTCTCTGTTGCAGCAGTAAGTACAAATCATGCTAATATATCTACTTCCCTTCACTTTCTAGCTGGTTAATAATGCTCAACTTAAAGAATTTCCATCCTATTTAGCAAGAGTACGGGTGTGCACAGCCATTTCATCGCGTGTGATGACATGTGCGGTCATGTTTGATGTCTAATTTTAACATTGTTTTTACGAGTGTGATTATCTCTTCCTTTTTTTTACTATATTATAATCAAAATATAATTTTAATAATTTTTATTATTGATCAAAAATAAAAAATTACTTTAAACTATATATTTTGATACTAATTGTTGGAAAATTTATTCAGTGATATTTTAATAATTGATTATTTAAGACTTAGCACACTAATATAATATTTAACGTGTTTCGATAAATTATCTGTATCCATGAGAGAAGCCATTATTATTAGGAGCGAAGCCAGGTGCATTTTACAGGGGAGGTCAAAATTAATATAATAATATATATTATTAAAAAACTTTTTTTATTTAAATTAAAAACTATTAAATAATAGAAAATTTTAAAATGTTTTGCAGAGCTCGAGCCCTGCTTGCCCTCCCCTGTTTCAACCCCTGATTATTATATATAGGAAGAGAAAAAGATTTTACAATAATGAAGGAGTAGGAATCATTCATTGTACTTGACTCCCATCACTCATCTTCTTTCTTAGTAGTGCTGCAATGACAGCCACTGTTTGCTACTCTTGACAACTCACTCTCTCCTATAATTTTCACATTTCTGGCTCCACACTCTCTTTCACTCTCTCTCATCTTGTGTTGCTCTCTTAGTGCTTAATTATAGGCAAAGAATGATGTCACTAGGTCTAGCTCATCTTCAATGATAGTGATGCCAAAGTTGACATGGGTTGATACACTTGTTAATGGTTCGTGCAGTTTTTTTGACATTTGCAGCTGTCATCAACAACCCATAATTATAGCCTTTAACTGTGATGTTTTGAATTAAATAAGTGGGAAAAGACAATAAAGCCCCTAGAGGATTAAAAGCGAGTATAAATAAATAAGGATATTGTGGTAATTGAATAAATATAATAAGTATAAATAGAAAAAAAAAGAAGAACAGACCTGCAAATTTTGAGAGAGAGTCGGCAGGAGTGAAGGAGGGAAGAAGAAGAAGAGAAAAGAGGGAAATTAGAAGAGAAATAGAAAGAAATTGAAGAAAATAAGTTAAAAGGGTAAGATTTATACTTTAATGTGTATTATATGTTTTCTTTAGCTTTAAATTTTGATAAATGTTAGAGTTTTGAAGATTATGTTTTGGTTGATTGATGAATTAATTTGAATGTTATAGGGTTGATTGTTGTGAGTAATTGATTATTTAGTTAATTATGGAAGATTGTGATAATTTTAAGTTATGAATTGTGTAAATGATGAATTTTGAGTTAGAAATTTGAAAATAACAGTAGGTAATCAGTGGAAATTCTGGGTTTAAGGTTGAAGATGATAAAATTTCAGTTTGGTCCCTTAATTTGTGAAAATTATAGTTTAGTTCCTAAACTTTGGAAGATGACAAATTGGTCGAGCATAATTAGAGATTCTGGACAAAAATGAGAATGAATTATGGATATAGTTCCACTGTAATCTTGAGTTTGTGATATTTTTAGTTTGGTCCATCAATTTGACAAAAATTACAATTTGACCCTTAAAAATATGATAAATTTCAGATTAGTCCCTAACTATAATATTAGCTTTTGAAGATTGATTTAATGAATAATTGAGAGTTATTTAGTGAATTATTACCAATTTTATTATTTTTATTATTATGAATTAGATTTTGGAAAAACTATTAAATTTTAGGTTTTTGAGAAAATTGACTAGTTAGTTAAAAAATATAAAAGGGTAATAGAATACACTCTTAGTTAAGTGTATTAAATAGGTTAAATTTTCTTTCGAGTTGTTCTTAAATATGTCTTCTTTGTATTCAAATAATCTTGATATTCTACCGGTAGGACGTTAGTAGGATTTTTTTCGGTGTCTACTTTTAACTTTTATTTGCTTTTGAGTCAAATAAGTAGATAACTTTTCATATGCATGAGAAACATTATAAATATTTGATTTGTTAATATGAATTGGATCATGCTTCTTGATAATATATATATTGATTATTATCCTTGTTATAATAAAGTATGGTTAATTGTTGAATTTGAATTCTTGATATGAACCAATATATATTTTGAATTGACTTTTGAATTGATAGCTACTCATTTGATTAATGTCATGAGTTGAGCCTTGAGATATTAATATGTCTGTTTGAGTATGATTATGAACCTATGATATATCAGTCAGAATACCCATGCTAACAAGGTATTGTTAGTCTTTGTGCACATCGTATTTGAACCGTAATTGGTCGGGGAAGTCACTAACCTGTGTGGACTGATCATCCCACAGTACGGAGCTTCATGCTCAGTATATTTTAATTTTCTGACGAACTTTACCTTATGATATTCTTGTTATGGCCTATTTGAGGAACCTTACTATAAGAACTTAAAGCCAATTGTATATATATGTCTTATTGTTGTATTACTTTGTGTGTGTATATTGAACATTATTTATTCATTAAGTTGTTGAACTCACACTCTCATTATTTGTCCTTTTCAAGTTTATAGCTTGATAGCAAGTCACTTTTGTTGGACCTTCCGAACCTGTTTTTTATTGAAATTTGTAACTTCTTTTTTTGTCTAGTTAGTGCTCCAAAACTATAAATTTATATAAACTCTTATATTAAGACAATCAAATTGTATTATAAAAAGTTAATTTTGTTATTAATGCCGCGTTGAACTTTGATTGAGTTATGAGAAGTTTGTATGTAAATTTGGATTCCTATAGGTATGAAACCTTAAAGGAAAACCTTAATTATGTGCAGGTTATGGATTTGGGATTCAGGTCATGATAATAAACACCTTCTTCTAAAATAAGGGTGTAAATGCTAATACATAAATGACAATATCCTAACAGACCATGAGTGTCAATCTTTGCAAACTTAACTTTCGATTTCTATGGTAGCTTTTTGTTAATGTTTTAAAGAATTTCCAATCCTATTTATTAAGAACAAACATAGCCATGTAACAACTCGAAACTAGAAAATATTGATGTTTACGTGACCGTTAATTACATGCGTATAATATTGGGAATAAATTCAATTATTATATATACTTGCTTACAAATGAAATGTTACCATGAATTAATGGAAGTGCACTCTCAAATTGTGCATATAATCATGCATTTCACTCTCAAATTGTGCATATAATCATGTATTTCGTTTGAAGTCATTCTTATTAGTGCTCGGTTAGAATTTCTCACTTTTTTTTTTTTTTGATAATCCGGGGATTAGAATTTCTTACTTGTTAGCACACGATCTATGCCCTGCTTGATGGTTTTTTTGGTCTTTCTATACAAATTGCAGTACTCTGTTTTTGGTTCGATAGTGACAATAGGAGGGATGATAGGTGCAATTTTAAGTGGGGAGATGGCAGATCTCGTCGGTCGAAGAGGAGTAATTTCCTTAACAAAATTACTTGCCCTTAAAATTTAAACTGTAGGAGATTTATCTTATTATGCCCTCAATTATTTTCAGCTAATTCGTTGTAATTTTCGTCAAGCAGACGATGTGGACATGCCAGATAATTTGCATGGCAGGCTGGCTTGCAATAGCATTTGCTAAGGTTTCTACTATTTCCTCTCTTCGCCCTCTTCTGTCTTTCTATCTCAATCACATAATACATGGAACCAACTGGTGTTGAATTCTTGTTTAAAGAAAGCTTGGTGTCTGGACATTGGAAGATTCTTAGTCGGAGTTGCAATTGGGATTCTTACTTACGTGGTAACTACACAAGCTTCCATTTCACCTGTATTCGATCATCGTGTCTTTGCTGCATGTTATGGAGTCTGCATTTTGTGTAACAGGTGCCTGTATATATTTCAGAAATTACTCCTAAGAATCTCAGGGGACGATTTACCTCAGCCAGTCAGGTAAAATGAAGTTTTTGAAAATAATGAAAATCAAATCAATGATTTTGCTCCTAATAGACCCTTAAATTTTATTTTGATTTTTGTGTATAGTTGTTAGTATATTGTGGCTTTGCAGTGACGTATTTTGTTGGAAGTATTGCAAGCTGGCGTGTCTTGTCTCTTTTAGGTAACTTTTCTCATCATCTATCTTTCTGAGATTAAAGCAACGCTAGCTTGTACTATAGTATTGATTGGGTTATTGTGATCTCATTTTCAGCTACTATTCCAAGCTTAGTGCAAATTGTATGTTTATTTTTCGTCCCGGAGTCTCCAAGATGGCTGGTGAGTCCAATGTATGATATTGATGCTACTGTTGTTATACACGGAGAGGTTCCATCTCGAGGCGAAATTGAAGCCTAAATTCTTCAAAAGGCAAAACTCGGCCGTGAAAAGGAGTTTGAAGCTTCTTTGCAACGTCTTAGGGGAACAAATTCAGATATTTCTGAAGAAGCAGTTGATATCAGAGTAATTTTCAGCTTCATATATATCTCAAGAAAAAGTAGCTGCAGGATTTCGAAATTGTAATCAAGTTTTCAGCAAGGTTATTAAACCCAGCCCGGTGAGGTTGGGCGGGTTGACCTTGGTGAATCTAAATTATATCATTTCAATTTATTTTATTTTTAAATCAAACCTCTTGGGCCGTGATTAATAACTTTGGTTTTTGAGTTCCATAACAAGAGATGACATTTGGTTCTTATAGGATGCTATAGAAATTTTGAAACAGACCTCAGCTGAAACTAGAACCTTAGAGTTGTTCCAGAGGAGATATGCTTATGCAGTTATTGTAAGTCTTGAATAAGATATCTACTTTATATACGTAAATATAAAAATTATCTTCATTTTTTTGTCTAATTACATGTTTAATCTGAATTCGCCAAATGGCTTAGGTTGGAGTAGGGCTGATATTTCTACAAACATTTGGAGGAAGTATTGCAGTGTCATATTATCTTGGCACCATATTTGCTAAAGCTAGTATGTCTCTTCTGATTGAAATATAAACATGAACCCTTGTATTAACCTGCAATATTGTGGAAAAGGAAGACGTAAAGTTGATTTTTGTGTGGTTTTCCACAGATGTTTCAACCTCTTCTGGACCTATAATTTTTGCTCTTTTACAGGTAGATACATGAATTTATTTTGTTTATTTTTCTCTGTTTATATCTTAATGACAGTAACTATTCTATTGCAGATTCCAACATCTGTTGCAACTGTACTCTTAATGGATTTATTTGGAAGACGGACACTTCTTATGGTTAGAACTCACAAGGGCACCGATTTACTTTAATTTTGATGAAGCTGATCATCAAGGTGGTAACCAAATCTACCAACATATTTTGCAGGTTTCAGCAACCACATCATGCTTATGCGTGTTCCTTGTAGGATTATCGTTTTGCTTGCAGGTAATTTGACCTGAAAATGGTTAAGCACATTTCCTTTCATAAGCTTTTTTTTTCTATATATGTTTTTGCATAATGCATCCTTCTTCCTTGTTTTTAATGAGCAGGAATCCCACAACCTGAAAGAGCTCACCCCAATATTGACTTTGGTTGGCATATTGGTATTTAATCTAGCCTGGATAATTACCAAAAATTCATAGTTTTTTCTATAAACAATTCAAATCCCATCTTTAATTAATGAACATGAGTTCATACTTGAGTACCTGTATTGATTTGTTCTGCTTTTATTCTGAGCAAATTTTCCTTCCAAGTAACACATAAATGTGCTTACTGATTAATTAATTAATTCTACGAACAGGGTTTTGGCTGCGGTTTTGCCATAGGCATGTCAGGAATACCTTGGGTTATAATGGCAGAGGTACTTGGTGCCCGTTTGTCTATGCAGTAATGCCGTGTTTCAAACTGCGTTTGGCTTGGAAAAACATCATTTTCTTATGCTTTTTCAAGCCAAATATAGTTTAAACCGAGTAGACAAACGTAACCTTAGGCTTAAACTTTTATATGTATGTATTTATAACAGAAAACTGATTGGAAAGAAAAAAAAAAGGGTTTATAAGTTGAACTTAAGCATGCGTTTTCACTGCAGATATTTCCTCTAAATGTTAAGGCATTAGCAGGAAGCCTCGTGGTTTTAACCAGCTGGGCTAGTTCTTGGGTTGTGACATACACATTTAATTTTATGCTGGAGTGGAGTTCAGCTGGTGAGTTATCCCCTTCCCCTTCTCACCGCCACATCCACGCACAAATTGCTCAATATTTTTTCATTAATATTCTGTGCTGGATATTTCTTGCAGGGACATTCTTCATCTTCAGTGGAATGTGTGCTTTAACTATTTTATTCGTGTGGAAGTTGGTGCCAGAGACGAAGGGAAGAACATTAGAAGAAATACAATCAACATTAATCACTCAGATCCCTGGACAAAACTCGGTGATAGCGAAAACATAAAGATGGTGTTTAGCTTAACGACACTGTTTTAATGAGTATATTAATTTTTTCTTTGATTTTCTTAATGAACATGAATTTATGCAACAATTTTCTTTTAAGATTATTGTATGTTTTTAATTTATGGTTTTAAAATGAATAGTGAATTACATATATTGTAATCCATTTTGTACCCTCCACGAGAATAAAATTAAATAATAAATAATTAAAAAAAACTGAACAGTGTTGTTTTTGACACTGTTCCTTTTCCTACGCATGATGCTAGAGCTCCACGCCCCCTATTTGGAGAACTCACCCGATGTGCCCTGCAAAGCCATGCCCGTTGGAGACTTCACCCGATGTTCCCCTGCTCCCATGCACAGCGAGGCCTTCCCCGCTCCTCTTTTTGCCTATAAATACTGCTATTAGTAGCTGTAGAAGGAGGGGGGGCGTTGTTTTTTGAAAGAGAAGAATTGTAACCTCTCTCTCTGGTGTCTTTCTCCATCGTTTGAAACAACACTGCCATCAGAAACCACCCACCTTGCCCTTAGAACCGCCGCTGGGAAGAAGAAGTAGAGAAGCAAGGTGATTGAACAAGGAGAAGACATAATGTAAACGCGGCAGAGAAAAGGAAAAACAACCATAGTTAGCCGCAACAACGCCACCAGGAACAGAGCACGTCCTCTCCACCACCACCAGCTGTCACTGTCTTCCTAGTCAACAACAACACAGTTGGAAGTAGAAGGAGAAAGGGAAACAGAGGAGAACAGAGTTGAAGAGGAAAGTAGAGAAGAAAAGGAAGAAAGGCTGAACACCGCACTCCAAAGGCCAACCACCATCTTAGCCATCCTTCGGTCAGCAACCGCCACCAATACCTCCACGAAACCGCTGCAGAAAAGGAAGAACATTGTTGACAAAGGAAACAAAAGCAACAAAGAGAAGCAGCAACGCTGAACAGAAAGGAAGAGGAGAATAGTAAACTCTCTTCCTGGTCTCTTTCTCTCCACCGTATGAAATAGCACCATTTCCGCCATAAGATGCAGAACGTGAGCAATTCACGTTCTGCAGCAAATGAAATATAATTAGGTGGTTACTGTGTGGAGCACAGTAACCACCTAATTATAATTCACTAGTTACTATGCGCGATTACCATGCGGAAATATAATTAGGTAGTTACTGTGTGGAGCACAGTAACCACCTAATTATAATTCACTGGTTACTATGCTAAGTAACCAGCAACCAATACATCGGTTATTTCGGGCTGGAATATTAGCCCAGCGCATGGGTTGGGCTGAGACCAGCCTTGTAAAAAAGGGGCCCATTATATGTTGGGCTGATTTCGGCCCAGTTTCCTTTTGGGCAGGGTCTGGCCCATCCAGAAAATTTTCTTCAAAGAATCTGTGATTTTTCATAATTTTGTTATTGTATTTTGATCAATATCAATTTGTATTTTTATATTGTAAAGATACAAATTCAGTATTAAAATACCCGGTTTTCATTAAGACATTAAAAAAATATAAAAATAAAAATGTTTTGTTTTCATGCATACGGTCTAGTCTCTCCAATATATAGATATATGTAAATCATCACATTATATTTTAATACAACAAAGAAAATTTCAAAAAATATATGTATTAGCATGCGTTTTAGCTTTAATAACTGGTTTATTCAAGCCATGAGAACTAAGTCAATATTTCAAAAATTACAAAAAATTATTTTGTTTTCTTTTAATATTTGAAGTTACGATCTTATACGTAAGATGTATTCTGGATATTAAATTCTTTTGTTAACGTCAGAATTACCTAATAAGATAAGAAGGATCTCCTTATCGAGGAAGATTTTTTCTTAAACCATACCAACAACTAGAAAACATGATAAAATCTTAGATTTTATCAGACAATAAAACAATGCAGCTTACCTTAGGTAGGGTGTATTTGAGGTGCTAATACCTTCTCTTTACACAACTAGTCCCCGTACTTGATTTCTGAGACCAGTTAGGGTTCCTAGTGACCAAAATATTAGGTGGCGACTTCCAATCTATTTTCCACCAATAAAAGACAATATTTTCTTATCCCTCTATATTTTCCAGATAGATATTACAACATTTTCCAGATAAAAGTGGAAAACTCGCCGCGACGCCGCACACGTGTGACAACATACAATAAATTGGTGGAATTATGAGCATTTAGCCTTGATTCTAGAACTTGATATAAAATGAATGAACTAAATAATATTTTATAAGTATCTATCCTTAAAAAAAAAAAGAATTAAAATAAAAGATATTTTTGTATGTTTTAAAATATAAATAAAGATCAAGACAGGAGGGTGTCTAATTAGAAAGAAAAAGGAGAAAAGGTTAATCAATTCACAGAATTTTTCACAACAGAATTGATGAGAATCTTTAAGGGTAATTTCTGTCTTTAAAAAGGCTTTCGGAAGTGCCAATTGCTAGAGAAATTTATAGTCAATTGAACGAAGAGTTAAATAATAATAATAATAATAATTTTAAGTGTGAGTTATCTATATAAAGCTCAGATCTCTCTACAAGAGCAGAAGGATCCCCAGGCAACTGATAATGTAATTTTCTCCTTTGGAACGAAGCTATTCATACACTTCATTGTAACTTTATGCAAACTTCAAATTCCTAGCAGGATGAGACCTCACTGGCCAAGGTTATGCCTGCTGTTTCAGCTCAGCAGAGCAGCAGAATTCCTGTATCTCCTGCCACTTCTGTTGAACAAGTCTCTTCGTCGACTTTCACATCCTTAACCAGCAGAACTTCCTCTCAAGAGCTCACATTAGACACTCTGCTTCAAGCTCTGATGCTCCTTCTGAATCTCTCAAGTCCTGTGTTGTGAGCTTTATGATTTACAGGCGTTCTTTAGATTTGTTAAAGGAGCTCTTAACGAAATCCCCTGCACAAGTAGCCATATCAGCTGACCGCCTATTGCTGCCGTCCGGTTTGAAGAGTTTAAAGAGCTGTCCTTTTCTAAATTCCTGTTGCTACACTTCCCTGTTCATCTTCCAAGGTAAGTCCTGGTATTTATAAAAATACCAGTGTACACAGAGGCAAGAACAGATAACAGTCTACTAGTTACCTGCTCATCATTTTCTATGAAACTCTCTCCATAAGCTTGAAACTAACTTAGTGCTAGAAGTTAATCTTAAACTTCGAGGTATAAAATTAAAATAATTTTATAAAAAAATTTAAAAAACAAATTTATAAAGTGATCAATTAATATATTGTTAAAAGATTAAATAGAAAAAAACTATTTAAAAAAAATAAAATAAAATAAAATTAACTTGAATTAATTTATTAATCTTACAATCTACATCATAATATCAAAATAAATTCATATAAAGCAATATATATATATAAAACCTCACTTCTAATATATAAAATATTAAATGTTAAAATAAAGAAAAAACTAAATTTATAAAATTAGTAGATAACTCAAGAGAAATATAAAAATATTAAGAAGTATAATTCTCAAAATAGGGTAAAATTAAAAATTAAAAATAAAAACTAAAAAAGAAATAAAGAAGATTTGGTTGGTGGTGGGTGGAAAAAATAACTAAATAAAACTAAGAAAAGGAAGCACAAAACTACGTAATTAATTTAGTCACATCATATTTAGTGATAATAGAAGACATTTTCTTTGTATCTTCTTCTGTATCTTCCACAAGATCAAATCAATTTCTCGGAACACCTATCACATCAAATTAGTGGAAAATAATAATAATAATAATAATAATAATAATAATAATAATAATAATAATAATAATAAATACCTATCACATCAGCACACCTATCGCATCAATTTTTTATAAATATGATCTAATCTTGTTCTTTCTTTGATGCTATCCTTTACTTTTACATTAATATAGTAAAGGAGAGAGATAAAATGCTAAAAATATTTCTTTGTAAATCTAAATATCCTTTTTTTATAAATATTTATTTAATGGCTCCTTTTTATTTGGTATTTATCTACTAGTAGAATATTTAATTTAATTCATTAAAAATCCACTTAATTTAACAAAAAAAACTCAATACAAAAAATTTTCTAGCATTAAAAGAATAATATAAATTATATTATAATACCTCACCTAAAAACTTCAATTTTTAGGTGAAATGGTTCTTTGATATGGTATCAAAGTCTTAATGATCAAATAGTCTTAAGTTCGAATCTCATCATCTCTATTTATTTGATAAAAATTAAACACAAGTTAATATAGACATGTACAAGTTTCAAACTCAAAGAGCTTTCACTTGAGAGAGAGTGTATTAAAGAATAATATAAATCATATTCTGAAATCTTACATAAAAATTTAAACTTTTAGATGAGACGATTCTGTGAGACCAACCATCAACTTAAATGTAATGTCAAAGTTAGACTAGCATGATGTATCATGCACTAATTATGATTTTAAAAAATAAATTAAATTATTTTATAAATTATATTTTTTTTAACCAAGTTTAAGGAGAATTTTTAATTATCCATTGATTAATTAAATAATTTCAAATGCACAATTATAATAAAATATAAATCACAATGAACTACTACACAAAAACATTTAAAGCTTTAATCTACTATAGTTAAATGAATGGGGAAGAAGGGGTAGAAAAATGATTTAGTTGCCTTTCGTTTCTTAGATAATATGAAATTAATTAATTAATTTAGTTGATTCAGTGTCACATCCAAGGAAGAAAATCAATTTAGTGCATAGAAAACATAATTAATCATCTTTAAGAACAGTCGTTGAAAACATCTAATTACCTCTTCGATTGTAATTTTTTTTTCGGTACAACTTTATTTTTGAAAATTTTTAAATTTATTTTTATTATTATCTTCGAATCACTGCCGAGTTTCATACAGATTAATACCAGAAAGAAGGGGAATAAACAAAACAACTGTGAAACATGCAGATCGATACAAACTACCTACCACATTGACTTAGCAAGAAAAAAAACATCTGAACAGCCTCCCAAAGAAGCGTTATAGTCATTCGTGTTGACATTTCGAGTGGTTTCTTGAGCTAGCCTTTGGGGCTCGGTCCAGGGCTTGGAAAATTTCCAGATGAGGTTCTCACCTTGTTCCATAAATGTACGGTAACCTCAGTGTTCCTTGTCTCAGTTACCGGATATTTTTCAGATTGTTTTCTTCTTTTTATAGTGCCCTCAGAAACCAGAAAGTTATGGCTTTAGCATTGCGTTTTCGTTGTGTTGCTGTTTTAGTTTTTCTATTATCATCCCCAAGTGCACTTCCAGTGGTGAAGGTGAAGGCAGCTGCTTTGGACCTTTTCACTGACAAGGAAGCACTGCTTTCGCTTAAATCTCAGGTAACCACTGATCCTTCAAATACTCTTTTCTCATGGAACAACAACTCCAGCCCCTGTAACTGGACTCGTGTTAGCTGCAACCAGGTGAATCAAAGAGTCGTTGGCCTTGATTTGTCTGGCCTTAGATTAACAGGTTCCATTAGCCCAAACATTGGAAACCTATCCTTCCTTCGCTCACTCCATTTACAAGGGAACCAATTTACAGGACTTATTCCTGATCAAATTGGTGCTCTTTCCCGTTTGAGCGTCCTTAATATTAGCTTTAACAGCATCACTGGTCGAATACCTTTGAACATAACCAAGTGCTTAAATCTCCAGATCCTGGACTTGATGCAAAATGAGATCTCAGGAGCAATTCCTGAGGAACTCAGCAACCTGAAAAGCCTTGAAATCCTCAAGCTGGGTGGAAACAAGCTCTGGGGTACGATCCCACCATCTTTTGCAAACATTACCTCTCTCCTCACCCTGAATCTAGCCACCAATAATCTTGGTGGAATGATCCCTGACGATTTTGGTCGTTTTAAGAATCTAAATCATCTAGACCTTAGTATCAATAATCTCACCGGCAATGTTCCCCTATCCCTGTACAACATTTCTTCTTTGGTTTTCCTCGCTGTTGCTTCAAACCAACTGCGAGGTGAAATCCCAGTTGATGTTGGGGATAGACTCCCAAATCTTTTGAGCTTCAATTTTTGCATCAACAAATTTACCGGTTCAATTCCACGGTCTTTGCATAATCTTACAAGCATAAAGAGCATCCGCATGGCACACAATCTTCTGAGTGGATATATGCCATCAGGACTTGAAAATCTTCCTGAATTGCAAATGTATAATATTGGCTACAATCAGATAAAAAGTTCTGGTAATGAGGGTCTCAATTTTCTCACTTCTTTCATAAACAGTAGCTATCTTAACTTTCTTGCCATCGATGGCAATCTTCTGGAGGGTCTCATTCCGGAATCCATTGGAAATCTCTCGAGTTCTCTTAGAAGTTTATACTTGGGAGGGAATAGAATATATGGAAGGATACCTGCCTCAATCAGACATCTTAGAAGTTTGGCGTTGCTAAATATAAGCTATAATTATGTTTCTGGTGAAATTCCACCAGAAATTGGCGAGCTTACAAATCTGCAAGAGTTGCATTTGGCTGCAAATAAGATATCGGGCAGAATCCCAAACTCCCTTGGAAAGCTCCAAAAACTGAATGAAATTGATCTATCTACTAACGACTTGGTAGGAAGTCTGCCCACAACTTTTGTTAATTTCCAGCAATTGGTGTCCATGGATCTATCCAGCAACAGGATCAACGGAAGCATACCGAAAGAAATTTTCAGTCTCTCCAGTTTGAGTGCTACTCTGAACCTGTCCGGTAACCAGCTAACAGGTTCTTTGCCTCAAGAGATCAAGGGGCTCGAAAATGTTGCCGCTGTTGATTTTTCTCACAATCATTTGTCTGGAAGCATCCCAGATACAATTGGAGGCTGGAAGAGTTTGGAGAAGTTATTCATGGAAAATAATATGTTCTCTGGAGTCATTCCAGCTACTCTAGGCGACGTGAAGGGTTTGGAGATCCTTGACCTCTCTTCGAACCAAATATCAGGCATAATACCCAATAATCTTGAAAACTTGCAGGCCCTTCACTTGTTGAACCTCTCATTCAACGACCTTGAAGGACTTCTTCCTAAGGAAGGAGCCTTTAGAAATCTCTCTAGAATTCACGTGGAAGGGAATTCGAAGCTCTGCTTGGATTTAACTTGTTGGAACAATCAACATCGGAAAAGAACATCCACTGCAATTTATATTGTCATTGCCAGCATAGCCACAGTTGCAGTATACACAGTGAT